TTACATGGCTCTGTCGGCAGAGCCATGTAGTCTAGACACACTCCATGGCTGCGTCTAGTCTGGCATGATTTTCCGCAAATGCTTTTAACAGAAAAGTTTTTCCATTAAAAGCATTTGTGGAATAGAGCGTCTAGATTGGCACGGACGCTTTTGCGCAAAAGCACTTTTTGCGGAAAAGCGTCCATGCCAATCGAGATGCGGTTTTGCGCAAGAAAGCCCCGATCGCCATTTTCGCCATCGGAGCTTTTTTGCGCAAAACAGTTTTTAGCTGTCTACCCTGGCCCTCTTGCACAAATACATTTGCGCAAGTGGGCTTTTTCCTGAATGGGAGCAGCACAGTATTTGCGCAAGAACACTGACAATCTTACATTAGATCGTCAGTGTTCTTGCGCAAATTCAAGCGGCCAGTGTAGACAGCTGGCAAGTTTTTCTGCAAAAGCAAGTTTTGGGACACTGGTTGGTTCCTCCTCCCCCCTACAATTCCATGCAGCTGCTCATAGAAATGGCATGTTTGCAGCTCTGACCTAGGCCATCCATTTGCTTCCTTTGTCTTCTAATACGCTTGCCTGTGCTCTTTTATTTTCATGCAACACTAGTGAGTGTCTCTGCTGTACCCATTTTCCACCATTCCATGTGTGATTCTGGCATAGATACCAGCATTTTTTCTGCTGCTTTGTAGTTTTGTCTGTGCAGATTCCTCTCCCCACGCAGCAGTCAGATCCAAGATCTCCTGCATGCGCCATGCTGGAGCTCGATTGTGACCCTGGGCATTCATGGTCTGGAGTTCTACTAAAGTGTGCTGTCTGCTCTGCTCGCCGCAGTGGCCAAACAGAAAATTCAGATTTTCCTGGGGCTTTTCCTATTTACCTAGAGAGCAGTAGAGGTGAAAGTGCTGACCAGACCAGTTACATTGAGGCACTGTGGGACTTTCACAGTGCTGCCTCTGCACTACCACAAAATTGACCACACAAGATCAAATTTAGCATTACTCTGGCAACTTTGGAAAGGACCAGGCAACGATATTTCAGAATTCTGATATTCCAGTATTCTGTCTTGTGACAGTGGCTAACGCCAGGTGCGTTAGAGGGAAAGAACAGAACAATTAATAAAGTCATCCACTCCCACCTTCTGGTGATCAGAAGCTAGGGACATAGAGAGTATGATGTTGCACCCCTATCCATCCTGGCTAATAGCCATCTTCTATGAACTTACTTAGTTCTTTATTGATTCCTGTTATAGTTTTCTCCTTTACAACATTACTTGGCAAAGTGCAGTCCCACATGGCTGACATTTTGCTACCCCCTTCCCTGTTGGGCAACCTGGGCAGCTACCCTGGGGCCTGTTGATTTAAAAGGGCCAGGGGCTCTGGTCACAGCAGCAGTGACCCAGAGCTCAGGGTCCTTAAAATTGCTGCTGGAGCCCCAGGGCTCCAAGCTTCCACTGTTGTAGCCTTGGGGCTCCCAGCTGCCAGCCATAAAGGACTACTGGGGGCGGGGATGGTATCTGACCCCAGCACCACCCTTTCCTCCAGAGGCCTTGCCCCTTTTGGGGACCCAGATCTACCCCCTGCTAAGGACACTGGGCCCAGTGCACTGCAATGATAATTCCTGGCATCTACTTTCACTCCTGCTGTGTGTTGTGTGAGGAAGTACTTCCTTTTGTTTGTTTAAACCCTGTGTCTGTTAGTATCATTGTTACCCCTTTGTTCTTGTATTGTGTGAAGGAGATAATTCTATTTCCTTATTCTTCACATCAGTCAAGATCATGTAGACTGCCAAGATCTTTTTCTTGAGTAGTAACATCTAATTGAGATCCTATCATTTTGTTTGTTTAATTAGGATTATGTTTTCCTATATGCATTACTATTTGTCATTTAAAAAGAATGACTAAGATGTGAGAAACTCACTCATATTTTTTCCAGTGGAGACCGATGCAAATAATTAATTTAGTTTCTCCACAATTGCATTTTCTTTTTTGAGGTCTTCTTTAATATTTCGACCACTTAATGGCTCCACTTATTGTTTAGCAGACTTGCTGCTTTTAATGTACTCAAAAATATTTGCTATTAGTTTTTGAGTCTTCAGCTAGTTGCTCTTCATATTCTTTTTTGGCTTCCCTAATTATAGTTGACTTGCCAGAGTTTATGCTCTTTTTATTTTTCATAATAGGAATTAACTTTGTATTTTTAAAGGATGTCTTTTTGCCTTTGACTGCTTCTTTTACTTTGCTGTTTAGTTCTGGTGGTATATTTTTGGTCTTACTGTTTTTTACTTTGGAGTATGCATTTAACTTTATTACAGTGTTTAAAAAAAGTTTCTATGCAGCTGTAATCTATGCAGTTAGTACTTCTTCTAGGGCAATGTCTACTGCCATTGTGATGTGAAGGGAGTCCTGGCTCCATGCTTTAGGGTTCCCCTGGAAGAAACAGAATATCATCATGGACCTCCTCTTCAATGACTCTCACATCTTCAGTCAGAAGACAGATGAGACCCTACACACTCTGAAGGACCCTGGAATTACCCTTTGTTTGCTTGGTATATATACACCTGCTACTAAGAGGAAGTTCCAACATCAATCCAACTCAACAACATATAGGACATGACACTTCTGCCATCAGAGACCCAACAAACCACTGCATAAAAATCAGAGGTCTTAAATGTAACTTCCATGGCCTCAGTATCCCAGTCTTATTTTGATAGACCTTGGACTTAAGTTCTTCCTGTACCATTAGCAGAGCACTAACATCAATCCTCTGATCATGGTCACTCGCTGATATGGTACTTCTCCCTAGATGATGCCAGCCCATTCAATAACTGTTGCTGTCTTCTGCCAATTCTTTCTTGGCCTTTCTTGCTTTCTGTTTTCTCCCTCAGATACTGAATTCAATGCTTGCTTATCTTATCTCCCGTTTTCTATATGGTAGACATGTCCCAATCATCTGAGCCTTCTTCTTTGATAATATTTTCTAACGTGCCCTTCTCTGTTAGCTCTTTTACTCTTATATTTGTTGTTTTATGTTTCAATGAACTTTGTAGTATCGTCCTCAGCTATCTGTGATGTGCAGCCTCCAATCTTTTTGTTACCCACTGTCATCTGCCAAGTATCTATTTAATACAGTATCATGCTCTGTACAATTACATGGTATAATCTGACCTTTGATTTGGAGAAGAGTCAGACAAAAAGTTGTTCATCTTTCAAAGAAGTGGTGTGTGGTTTTCTTAATCTCAAACGAATATTTTTTTGCAGTTACTTTCAACATGTTATCAGACTCCCAGAAAGCTGGACTCTCTTACCTGTTTGATTTCTTTTCCATCTGTGTACACCTTTGAATCTGTAGTCCAGTTTCCCACAGTCATAATCTTGGTTTTCTTTGCATTTACTTTCAGCCCTATTT